TTTTCTCTTGTATGAGAGTAATTTCTTTAAGAGTAGGAGACACAGTTTGAGGGTGATACTTTCTTTCTGCAACTTTAGTCCATCTGTTGATATGACTAGTATTATATTTTAAATTTATTGTCCCTGATTCATATATATTCCTTGCTAGACTCTAGGATAGGTCAGGCCACGCTGACGAAACACTCTCGTGACTCACAGATTTGTGTCTACCATTTTCTTTTTTAACATTAAAGAGATCATCTCATATTTTAAGGAGTAACAGATATTTGTCCATCCATTCGCTCTTTCATCCATTCAGCCATCTATCCATTTCATTCATATATCCATTTTTCAAGAAACATCTATTGAATAAATTACTATGCACCAGGGACTGTGCTGGTGTTAAGATGTACAATCACAAATATATTAAGACATTATAGTTTACTAGGGGAAACTGACTCATATGTAAATGTAACACAGTGTGATATGTGCAATATTAGAAATTTATAATATAGCAAAGTAGTAGAGTGAGGAGAATGATTAATTCTTGCAGGATGAAGGGCATGAGCATCTTAGAGAATATGATTCTTGAGCTGGGTTTTAAAAGTAAATAATTGGCAAGATACTCAAGAATAGAGTAGCAATGCAGAAAAAGAATAAAAGCAAAACATTTAAAGCATATCTAATTTAATTTAAAAAGAATTTATTTTTTTAATAAGAGAAATTATACTTTGGGATTAATAATAATACTTACATATTCAGTTATTGATATCTGATCAAGTCTATGGGTAAAAATTTTAGCATTTTTTATATAAAGTCACCAAATGGAGAAAAATTATTGTTTTACTTTGAAAACTATCATTGACTATGCCTCATTCTGAAAATGTTGATTTATGAAATCATTATGAAGATCGTCTTTTGTTCCATGCGATAGGTGAGTCACACATTTCTCCCTCATTTCTTCGCTTAATATTATGTCCATTTTCTGGCTGAAGGTGAGAGTAGTTTCTTCTAAATGGCTTATAATTAGTGTTTAGCCCCAGCATTGCCCTCCTTTTCTGAATAAGGCCTAGAGGTGACACTTGTTTTCTTTCTCCCATTTCAACACCTTGCAAAGCCTACTTGTTCATGGTACTCAGGAGGGACATTGCTAGGAAATGGGCTCTCTTTTATGCCCAGGACAAGTACTGTGCTGTGCAAATAGCCACTACAGGAGATAATACCAGCTGCCTTGCTAATAACTTTGAACTCTATGGATTCTTCTCCTAGATAAAGCAACACTATTTTATGATATGAGTGAATTTTTGCTTCAGTTACATGATACATTGTTTTCTACTCGAGACTTGTCTCCTTTGAAACCAGAGGTTAGCTGAAATAAAACAGGAAAATAAAAAACTTTAGCAGGCTGATTTGTGCTTTGTATGTGTGGACTCTCAGTGCTACATAATACAAAGCAATAATGGCGTCCTAATGACCATGCTTAAGAATGTGGTACAAAGTCATTCATGGAAAGAAACATTAAAAAGAACAGTTAAAATGCTACGGATACAAAGATTGAGAGCTTGAAGCAGAGACAGTGGAGGAATATCTAAAATGTATCAAGTAAAAATAAAGACCAGTTATATTTAAGCCATACTCTGGAGCTGAAGTTTAAGGAGGAGGGAAAAGAAAATGTTGTTTTCTATCGTTGGAAGTCATTAAAAAGAAAGGTAATGGTCTAGAATTAGGTAAGGCAAGAAGTAATCTTTGAGCAGGAAGTTACCTGAGTCAGCTTAATTAGAACTGCTTAAAAATAGGACTAAAATACTGGTGGGATTAACCTTTATAATCATGCTCCTGAGAGAAGGAGGGGAATTAACCCCGAGGCAAATTCCAATGTAGTCTTTTCCTGGAAGTCATACCTCTACTTTCAATCTCCCTGGGTGCTTTAATACCTTTTTTGTTCTTTTCTGCTTACATATCTGATTTTTCTATGACATTCTTTATTCTCCAAAACTTGGACTACCCAACTTTTGCACCAAAGCATAACCCCATCTTATATTTATAGGTTTATCCAATAAATCATTTCTTGTAAAAATTGTCCTTAATTGTTCCAGAATTCTCTGTGGCTCAAAGCTATTGCAATAAGACCAAATTAATTCTACTTCTAAGTGTCTGTGGTAATGGGTAATTTATCCAAATTGGAGAGTTGTTAGCACATTCATGGTGCCATCATCATGAATTTAAGGATTTAGATTCCTTCCCAGGAACAAAAATACAAAGAAATACAACCACAGTGGTCTTGAATTCAAAACAGAACCCTTCTAAATTTGTGACTTTGATCATGTAATGAATCAAGTATGAGTACGTATATTAATTATCATGGCCATATTCTATTTCTGGAAATTTATATAAGGCAAATTGCTGTCAGGGGTTGCAAAGAAGCAAATAACATAATCTAGCTGTACACTATTATATAAAGTGACAGTATTCGTCAGTTCCTTCCAAATGAATGACAGGTTTTGAGCTCCTTCCTTTTTCTCTCATTGAGCACAATGTTTTCTATTTTACTGCTCTTGAAGCTTTCTAAAAGAGAATATACAGGGTCTAAGAGAGGGAAAAAACCCCAGTTGTTGGGGACAAAATAATGGCTTATTTTTAACTAGAGCCTGCAATGAGTTTTAGCATATTCTAATTATTTTTTGTTTTGTCCTTTAGGATAGATAACAGAATGGATTCACTTTGTGCTCATGTTCTCCCTCTTTCATTATCACTGCTATTTTATATACCTTAGATAGGCAATCATGACAGTTGCACAATTCATTTTCATTTGTTGGAACTTTATTCATCAGAATCCTTTTGTGATACCTCTACTCCACTGTTTCCATAAAATTCCTTATAGCATTGTGCATGTACTTATGTATGTATCTGTGTGTGTGCATGTATGTAAATGTACCCATGTATACACATGCACACACACATATGTCACACAACACTGAATACAATTTCTCCCTCATGTTCCTGCTCCATCATTCACATGTCTGAAGATTTTCTAATTGTATAACTGTTGACTTCCATCTTCTGGGTCCAAGAAAATTTGTGTAACTTAAATATATTTTTGAATCATATTTGTATTTCTTTCATTTTGCTATAAGAAAAAAGTATGGATTTGGGGATTAATCTAAAATCTCTAAATTCTGTGGGTTTTTTTTTTTTGTCTGTTAGTGCAGTATTTGTGGGGATCACTGCCTATTTAATAATTTGACCCATATTTATTAGTTCATCAAATGTTTGTGGAGTGTCTACAATTTGCCAAACCTTGTACTGGCTACTGGGAGAAAATGATGAATTAAGCAGATGGAATTTCTGCCCTCATAGAGGTTACATTTTGTTGAAAATGAGATTGATTATAATTTTCATGAGCATTCAAGGGCCTAAACAGGATGCTATGAATCTGTAACAGGCATACCTAATCTGACCAAGGCAAAGTTGTTTGAAGAAGTCACAAGACCTGACAAACATAGGAGTGGACTAAGCAGAAGAGGTGGGTCAAAACCATTTCAGCAGATAGTACAGCCCACACAAAGTCCTTTAGGCCTCAAGAACATGAAAATGTATTACTGTGGTGGAGAGAGTTGGATATGAACCATGAACCAAAGTTAGAGAGGTAGCTGGGACCTGATTATAGAATTAGAGACTGAGTGCAGGGCTTGAATTTATTTCCTAAAGGGTCTAGAAAGTCATCAAGTTATTTTAAATAGAGGAATGAAATGTTCAAACTACACTTTGAAAAATGATTGTTCCAGCTATATCACAAAGAGTAGATTGGAGCAGGGCAAGAGGGAGGCCATTGAATGAGATGGGCTCTGGAACTGGGTGGTCTGACTGTAAACCTGGTTTCTGCAATTTGTTGATTCTGTTATTTTAGGAAAGTTTGTGAACCTTCACAATCTTCAGGTTTCTTACAGACCTAATAATACTTGCATTATTCAAATTACTGTGAGAGCTAAATGAGATGTTGAATACACTGTCCCTATGGTTGCATCTGGTTCACAGTGTTAGCCATGAAAAAGTTGGTGGTGACTTTAACTGGGGAAGTAGTAATGGGAGAGTAGAGGTTTTAAAATTCTTAGAAGGCAAAAATCCATAGGTCTCAGTAATTTGCAAAATGTGGGGGATGAGGGAAGTGGAGGTTTCAAGTGGGTTACTAGCTTTAGCAAAATACAGAATTTGCAGTGAAATTTGAATTTCAGATAAAAATTTTTTAGTATAAGCAAATATTGCATGGCATATACTTTTAGTACAAAAATTGTTATTTATTAGAAATTCAATTATAACTAGACATCTATATTTTATCAGGCTACCCTGGGAAAGACATCTTAGGATTCTAGGCTGAACAACTGAATGGTTGGCAATATTTTCTAAAATGAAGATGATTACAGGAGGGCAAGTTTTTAGCATAAAAATAATGTAGCAGGTTTTAAGAACATTGAATTAAAAGTGCCTGGGAGACATCAAGTACAATGTAAATTATTTACTCAGTATTACTTTGGTCATCTTGACACACTCATTAAAAACAGCTATAACTGCCGGGCTCGACGGCTCAGACTGTAATCCCGCGCCTTTGGGAGGCTGAGGTGGATGGATTGCCTGAGCCCGTGGGTTCGAACCCAACTGAGCAGGCAAGACCTCATCTCTACAATAAATTTAAAAAATTAGCCGGGCGTGGTAGCACGCGCCTGCAGTTCCAGCTACTCAGAAGGCTGAGGCGGAAGGATTGCCGGAGCCTAGCAAGTCGAGGCTGCGGTGGCCGGGAGCGGCCACTGTACTCCAGTCTGGGCGACAGAGTGAGACTCCAACTCAAAAAAAAAAAACAATAATAATAACAAAAAAAAAAAAACCGAACAGCTGTAGCCACATTTGTATTGAGAATTAGGTAGTGCCATGTTAGTGTTCTGTTTTCCTATGTAATAAAATATTATCTCTTAAAGACTGGATAAAAAGCATACATATATATAAACTTTTAATTTCTTTATTTCCAGGCTTTTATATTTCCCCAGGCAATGCCACTGGCTGCCTGCCATGCTCATGCCATACAACTGGTGCAGTTAATCGCATCTGTAACAGCCTGACTGGTCAGTGTGCTTGCCAAGATAGATCCATTACTGGGCAAAGTTGTGACCAATGTAAAGACCATTACTTTGGATTTGATCCTCAGACTGGAAGGTAAATCTTTATAAAAATTAATGATTATTTCATTTAATCGTATTTTTCAAGTACTCTTTATTTACTAACAGTAACTATTTTTGGCAGTTATAAAGCTGTCTTCTTACAAAAACTGTCCTTTTGTTGAGGTATTTGATGTTGATGTACTTTTGGTGTGACATCTGCATTTATTAAACATACTGGTAATATTTGAATATTTTCTAGAGCGTGTTACTATATATTGATAGATGTGCCAGGGTACTATTTTCAGTACTAGGGTCTGGAAATAGTGAATGAGATAAAACCCCTTTTCCCTCAAAAGGCTTACGGTCTACATGTGGTGAAAGATAGTAAAGACATATATAAAAAGAAAATATGCACAAACACTATATTTTTGTTTACAAGGGCAAAGATATCTATCTATCTATCTATCTATCTATCCTTTCTTCTTTCTTCTACATGCCGTTGACTTTATTGCTTATTTACTTATTAGTTTATTGCATTCATTTATGCTTTCCTTGCCTTTCTTTCTAATTTAGTCAAGGAAAGCAGATGAGAAATGTATCTTTGTATTCTATGACATGATGATTTTTTTTGTTCAATGTAAAGTATATTCTGAAAGTAAATCACTTTTCAAAGTTACACTGTCTTTAATCTTCTTCTTATTCTCTGCTTATCTGTAGGCATTTGCCTTCACTTGCTTGTGTTTACTGTTGTATTTCCGAAAATGAGCTATAATGCCAATTTCGTGTATGTGTTTGTGTGTGTGTGTGTGTACATGTTTTGTCTGATTATAAGCTTGTGTAAAGTTCGGATTAAATCTATTAATTCTTTAGAGTTCCTGTCCCTAAGAAACTAGTATTATGTGCTGAACTCAGAAGGTCTATAACAAAACTAGTCAAATCAGTTTCTCAACATGTGTGTGTATGTATTTGAGATTATTTAGATTTTTTAAAACTCCTTGCCCCCTGCTGCCTGCCTTTGGCCATTCCCTTTTCATTAATGCCTCCATTAGAGGGCAAGACAGGTGACAGGGTAATTACTGAACAATAACTCAAACTAGTTTATTTTAAGTTTTTTTAAATTACAACTTGATTTTTAAAACTTTAGAAAGAGCATTCAAAATTAAATATTTATTAAGATAATTTTTGTTCTCATTACATATGCATATATTTTGAAATTTAATTTAATAATATATATTAAATATAATTTAATTTAATAATGCTTTACTTCTGTCACCATAAAAGCATTACTTTGTTAGTCTGAGAGCATTATTCCTTTTCTACAAAGACTAAATTGCTCTCAATGAGTATAGAAAGCACATAATACAGTAAATGTTAAATTTAAAAAATGCTGTCAGTATTTTGGTAGTAAAAATTGAGCCAGTTACTGCACATATTATCTGTACACACTTCTTTTTGGAAAAACATTCTCCAATCTCTCCAGTTGGGACTCAAGACTTGGTAGGTTTCACTTCTGGCCACCTCTGTCTTTAGAAATCCTATCTTTCCCATAGTTCCAGCCACACTTATCAAGAGAAAAGTATTCTCCCCAGTCAACTGTTCTTACAACATTCACTCCCATCAGTGGCATTTTGTGACAATCTCTTACCCATTTTTGTGCTGCTAATCCCCTTCTTATTCTTCCCAGGGTTGTCACCTCAAAACTCCTGACCTGGAAATGTCTCATGGTCTCAGTGTTTTCAACTAACTTTCTTTCTTTAAGTGAAACCTGATTCTCCTCATTACACTGTTTCCTTTACTCTTCTGTGTTCTTAAGTTCAAGACTGACCTTCACCCCACTCTGTTTCTCTCCCATTATCTACTCACTCACTCCCCACCTTAGTTTAATCCAGGACTAAGAATTGTTTACAAAGCAGTAATCCAATACCTATCACTCTGCAGTCAACCTGGATTCTCCAGGTTAGAAGGTGAATTGAAAGGTTTACCTAAATTGATGAGGAACTGGAAGAGCCAAAGAAGTAGGTGAAAGTTACATTATTAGAAGGTACTGAGGTTATAATCAAGAAAGCAGAATTCGGTCACATAAAAAGTGGAGAACAGATAAGAGTCTAGAAGAAAGAACCACAATGTGAGAAGCTGAGTAGATTTCTAAAAAATAAAAGATACAGAGGAAGTGTGGGTTTAAAGCAAAAACAAAAAAAAACAAAAAACAAATCACAGGTTTTATATAAATAAAATTGGATGTCTTTATATATTAGCCAGCTCCTATTATATAGATTGGCAGTGAAGAAATTACCTTTTTAAAATTACAAATTGTCCTTTAGAATGATAACATTTTCTTCCCATCTTCGTTATTCTTATCTTTCCACTTCCAGGTTTTTATTCATTGAGAAACTCCTCAGAGAGATATTATTTTTCCCCCTTCTCTCAAACTTCTGCTATTATCTTGAACTGCTTTGACACCTACTGATGCAGTTCTTTGGCCTCTTCATTCAATTCCCAGTCTAGGAACCCATTTCCATGGCTACACCCTGGATTTTGTGATCACTTGTAATTTCTCTACTTCTGAAATCTTCCTAATCCCAGAGTGCTGCTCTATGAATATGTCATATCTTTCCATTCCAGTTCATCCCTGAACCCTCATATAACCTGCTCCTTAATTTCTCTTCATCTTTATCCTTACCTGGTCCTCTTTTGATTAGCCCTGCCCCTAACTTCACTGTCTCCTGCTCCTAGTCTTGGATGAAACCATTTTAATTCTGACCTTTTGAGAAACTTTATTGCCATCACCTCTGCTGTGTTATGGGTCAGCTCCAAGGGTGATTGCCCTGTGCATGTCCTGAGTCTGTGAGAACCTGAAGAAAGACCGTGAACTTGTGCTGACTGGAAGCATTATATATAGGTATTTTCATTGCCTCACTTTTTCTTCCTTTATTCTGCTGCTAGTCTCTTTAATTTCAATTTCCTGCCCTTACCCTTACAGAAAATCTAGCCCCCTGATTCATAGACAAAATATGACCAGATATAAGTATCTTCAGATCATATTCACTTACCTCCAATTTGTCTACATTGTCCCAAATTCTTTATCTTTAAATCCAATCTTAGAAGAAAACTATGTGTAATTTGTAGTGAATATAATCCCTTGCCCGTTCTTGATGTGACTCCTTCCTGTTTCTAAATTCTTTCTCCTCTTTCCCCTTCTCTTCTTCATCCTGTATTTTCTCCCTCCACACGTTGCTCCATTGAGTCTTCCCTTTATTTTAACTTAAATCTCTCTCCTCTGGCTATATCATAACTGTCTACAAATATGTTCTTCATTACCACTTAAAAAAAATCCTTCCCTTGATTCTGCCCTGCCTTATGAACCCTGAAAGTTATTGTCTGGTTTCTCACTCTTCATTCACTTACTAACATTTTAAAAAGCTGTATACTTCAAAAAACATGATTTAAAAAGTTTTTTTTCCTCATTCATTTACTTTCTTTCTCATTCAGTCTTCAGCTGTGACACCTGGTACATACATCAGCAGAACTTGCATCATGTAGATATTCAAAAACCAGTCTGATGCCTCCTAAATTCCTCATCCAAATCATAGACAAGGTATACAATGAGGTATAATAAAAATAGGTTAAGAAAACGACAAAATTAGAGAACAAGTTTCACTGATGGGAGGAAAATAGAGGTGACTGGTGCTTTCCACTTGAGTTCAGAGAGAAGGTCTTTTTAGATCCCTTGCAGAGTGACCCGAGTCTCCTGTAGTTGAGGAGGCCACTGCATTGATATGTATCTTAATCTTGGAAAATCTAACAGAAGAGAGATACTCTGGCTAGGTGTGGATAGGTAAGCTGAAATAGAGTGCTCTGCATATCTTATACTTGCATAGTTCTTCATAACAAGGAAGAGAGGGTATTTAGCATGACCAGATGAGGACCACATGGAAGAGACACAGTGTGGGGTTGTCTTAGTATCTGCAAAAAGTACCACTTGAAAAGCTAGAGGCTTGAGCAGAGAAAAAGGTAAGATTCCGGAGGGCTATAAAATTAGTAAGCAACAAGTTGAAATAAACATGCATCTAACTATTCTAAAACTATAAGTGAGAGATACCTAGTGATGGGAGAGAGATCAATGAAGAAATCATGAAAGTACTTCCTGGCCGGCTTGGTGGCTCACATCTATAATCCTAGTACATTGGGAAGCTGAGGTGAGAGGATTGTCTGAGCCCACGGGTTCGAGACCAGCCTAGGCAATTTGACGAGAGCACATCTCTACAATAAATCAAAAAATTAACTGGGCATGGTGGCACACACCTGTAGTTCCAGCTACTTGGAAGGCTGAGGCAGTGGGATCGCCTGACCACAGCAGGTCAAGGCTGCAGTACGTGCCACTGCACTCCAGTCTGGGTGATAGAGTGATTCTCTAATTAAAAAAAAAAAAAAAGTAATTCCCTCAATGAAAAGTCAGCCTTACACATATGCAGGGCCAGAGACAACAGCCTGCTTTGGGTTGTGCTAGTCCAGTGAGTTCCTACTCCTCCTGCAGCCTGTATATGAGAGAAGAAGGGAGTAATAAAAAAAGAAGAGACCAACCAAGCCACCTTTGGTTGTAGTCTTGCTGCCTTCATCATGTCCTAGTTAGAAAAACATGGAGCGAAATATGTTCTTTAAAATGCTTGTCTTTTAAATAAAGATTGGAGTGTTGACTTGATTAATAAACAGGGCTGGACATTCTACTTTCTGAAGTGAACCTGTATTTTGCAACTTAAAGTAACTGTAGGAACTTCTATCACCTTAGAAAGACCTGAAAAGTCATGTGACCAACTCAGGTGAAAGACAAGGGAATTAACCCTAAACTATATGTTGAAAGCATCAGTGAACGACAGAAGTAAAATTGATTAGTGATTGTTTATCATAACGCATGACTTTTCAATGTGCCAGTCTTTTTATTGTCCTTTCTATTTCTTAAACAAAAATTATTTGCCTTTGACCTCCAAGATCCTGATTCTTTAATTCTTATTAACCTCTTTTCAGTTATTCATCTTTAATATGCCACTTCAATTTATA